CAGTGGCTCCTTTTAGTGTACTGTAGCAGGGTCTACAGTAGGACTTTACATCCTACCTACCTTTACAGTAACTTTTAGTGTACACAGAAAATGTTAAAATTGGTTTTGGTTGGCAACTGGATAATGCGCACTAGAAAAAGTTTGCTGGTATAGCTGTTTCTGCAGACTATACTAGCAAAGCAGAGCTTTTTCTGGTTTAGCTTACACTGGATCACCAAGAGAAATATCTACTGCAAAAAAATGCTTTCATGTTTATATAACTATATCTACAATATGACTTTTACTGGCATAAAAATGACTTTAAAGAATTCACCCTTCACATTACCGTACTAGTAAAAGTTAAGTGTAGAGCTGGCCTCCGTATCAGACCCCCTGCGAACAGGGGCTGCTGCCACCCCACACTGCTGCCTCTGTATTTAGCTCCTTCCTGTAGACTGGCTGGCTGCTGCTCCAGGCTGTGGAGGATCCGAGCTCCCTGAGGACAGAGATTGCTCTGTGGATCGTGATAGTCATAATCTCAACATTAATGCAATCAAAAGATCACTGTTTTAATTATATTCTACCTGTTTCAAAATTGCAAGAAAATAAGACAAACCAAGGCATATGCGTGACACATAAAACATAGACTAGTTCTCGTAAAAGACAAAATGTGACCCTTGAACTTAGTAACTTAAAGCAATAAACATTCTAAACATCTGCCCATGCAGGGACTGACTGCTCACTTACACTAAGGTATTTTTATTTATTTTGACACAATCACCCCTGATACTCACTAGTGTAAGAACAAAATGGGGCACTTTGTGTGTTAAGATGTAATATGTTGATGGTGTATTCTACATCATTCCATAACTAGGTCAACCATAAGTTGCCTTGCTTTGACCTAGCTATGGAAGCATCTTCACTTAAATTTGGTTCCCACCAACATAATTTACCCTCTATGCCAATTTAGCAACTTCATCTTCCCAAGTAGTGTAAAATCATGTTAATGGAATTTAAAATGTCTAGTTTGATGCAGTGTAAACAATGCAGTCACCTAAGCAATGTTACTAGCGTGCAGGAACCCTCCCATAGTACCCCATGCTCAGAGTGGAATCATATAAGTGCTCCTAGTGAATACCGGTTCACACAAATGATTTAACTACAGTGGTATCAGAATTTTGTAGTCTAGACATGGCCTACATTTTAAAAATGCAATATCAATTAGTTTATGACTACAGGCAGTCCCTGGGTTACGTACAAGATAGGGACCGTAGGTTTGTTCTTAAGTTGAATTTGTATGTAAGTCGGAACTGGTACATATTGTAGGGGAAACTCTAGCCAAACATTTCTCCAGAGCTCAGTTTTATTCTCCCACACCTCACTTCCCTCAGTCCTTTATTCTCAAGCTGAGGTGTCGGCTGAGAAAAGCCGCTCCGCGTCTCCCTGGTCTGCTGGGGGAAGCAGCTAGTGTCGTGTCTCTCTTGTCTGCTGGGGGGAAGCAGCTAGTGCGGGGTTGCCTCACCCCGTTTGTAAGTAGGGATCCGATGTAAGTCGGATCCATGTAACCCGGGGACTGCCTGTATTTTTCTGCCTCTTATAGCCTACAGCAAGTATTTTAGGGGAGGGACAAAGTCATTGTAGTTTCATTGTACTCCTGGTTGCTGTCTTGTTAGCCCTTTGAGTGATTATCAACATTTTGGTTGTCAACATAACCAAGCTCAGGAAAGAAGACCTTCATAAAAATTGAGGATATGCCTGACTATTAAAAGCAGGTGCTAATTCATAGATAAAAGTCTCAACCAAAATATTATTTTAGGATTTCTGGAATTAAATGATTTCTGATGAACATATATATGTTTTATGTGACTCCAACCGATAGTTTAAAATGTCTGGAGATCATTTTCAAATCAGATTTAAAGTGTTTGTGCCTCCAAGGAGAATGCTTATTCTTTAACACATCATAAATTAATGTATTGACAATGTATAGAGCCAAACAAGAGCTTCTGAGGTGGATTTTTTAAAGAGCTTTCCTGAAAGATTTAGCCTAGTGACCTGGATAATAGAAGGAAATACTTCTGCGGGATGAGTTTTTAAATTAATTAAAAAAAATACTGACTTTATAGAAATCCTGATCATATGTCACTTTTGTTCACATTGTTGCTTCCAAATATATTTTGCCTAATATTTGAGGTATTATCAACGCCTACTTTTCCCTTAAAGTGCATCTGATTAGTTATATATGTTAACTACCTGGGTATCTATGATTCAAGTAACTTGTGCTACATAAAGCTTCCAGAAAATTATTTTGACTGCAATGAGCATTATGTAGCCCACACTCTTAGATAAGCAACCTCAAAAAACAGAAAGCAAAGTATAGTTCGATGGGTGTTAAGAGCTGACAAATTGAGAGGACTGTTTCATTATTCATAATATATTGAACTCTGAGGATTGGTCAGCCTTTAATAATATTTAAACATAATGTAAATCAGCCCAAAATATTGCCTAATAGAATGTAGTGTTTTAAAACAATCTGTTACAGTTTCTGTGCTTGGCTGAATTGGAATAGTAAAGATTTCCAATCCGATCATGGATATTCCCTATCAAGAATCCTGTTCTTTATCTTTGTGGTCCAGAAGAATTGGAATTCTTGAACAGCAGTGTTAAGAGGATGAATTAGGTGTGTCACTGATAAAGGATGTATAGCATTGACTCCCCATTTTCCTACTGACTAAACTAAGGAACAATACATCTCTCATCTGAACTAAAGAGGTTTTGTTAATTTGACTGTTTGTACAAAGCAGCTAAGATAACACACTGCATATCTGATTTTACTTTTTCAGATATGTATCTTCTGAATTAAGGATTTTACAAAGCTAACTTTGCTACAGTGGATCTTAGAAAGATCCTGGAATGCATGAGAAAAATGATTAGTAGTCACTAACAAAGGGCAAGAGATTAGCAACAGCGGGATCTTCCCTCCTGAATAGAGCAACTAAAGGGACTGAGGTAGCCATAATTTAAGATACAATTAGCTGACAGCTGATTTAGTCTCTACAGATAATCTAAGAACAAAGAGTACCTTTAATGATTGATACTAGAGGAGAGTAAATCTAGATGCTATAAAAATAAATGATCTTATGAGGTACTAGAAGATTTACCCAGTGTTGCTTGGGTCCTTAATTCAAATAAATTTTATATTTCCTCATTTAAATCATTGTTCTGGGTGGGACTGGGCAGGAGGGTTACTCCAGGGAGATGAGAACAACCCCAGCCCTTTCTTGCTGCAGCAACTTGGGGCCATGTGAGAAATACCATTGTAGAATATCATGAAATCCAACACAATTCCAAAAGATCATTGGGCTTCTACTCTTTAAAGCTCCTAAATTGTACTGAAGCAGAGCTGTAGATGTTAGGATCTGGATAGTACGGTGTACTGGGGAAATATATAGAGGTTAAAGATTCTAACTTCTTGTAAAGGTATAAGGCATCCAACTATAATTCTGTGAAGTTGGAAGAAAGCTCACTTTATTCCATTAGGAGTTGCTAGCTCTCCATAGTCAACCCTTTAGCCTTGGCATTCTTTGAAGTATACAGGGTTCTTAGGATGTTTCAGTTTTTCTTCCATCCTTGAGCCCATCCCAACCGAAAGATAGAAAACTCTGTAAATATTGGGACCTTCAGAGTTTAGGAGCTCTGCAAGCACCTTGAGGTATGAAGATTTTTAAAAATCCATGGGAGAAGGGTTTGAAGTCATAATGACCTTTTAAAACCTGGGTTCCCAAATTGGGGGGGGGTGAAGAAATTCCAGGTGGGACATGAGGTGACCCAGCCCCACACATATACCCATCAATCCCACCCCAAGTTTTGCTGCTATTTTTTTGGGAGGGGGGCACGAGGGTTTCTCAAAAATCAAAAAGAGGGTGTGATGCCGAAAAGTTTGGGAACCACTGTACATTTAAAAGATCTCTGGCTGTAACCTTGATTCATCCAGACACTCCCTTAATGCTAGCTGCTCCCAGTACCACTTTGCCTCCTCCACTTTCTTTTCCCCTTCTGCAGTGTTTCATTGTTTAGGGTACATGTCAGTCAAGTATAATAACTTATGGAACTGTCAAAAGGAGAAATGCTCTGCCTGCCACAGGACATAGGTGGTCTTTAGACATAGGCCTTTTCCTAAGAAGAGTCGTTTTCTGTTCCTAAAGGCCAGGCTATACACAGTCTGAAGAAAAGTGAAGTATTTCAGGTATGTACTTTAGACTGTAAACCTATACAATCTTTCATCTGAAAATAATGTTATACAGAGTAGGTTTGAAGAGAAAATGGGAGGTTGATATTGCAAAAAGAAGGTGTTTGTGTGATTATTAACTGAATATTTACATAATCTTCGTTTTCTTTGAAGCTTAAATTTAACTCCTAAATTTCAAGACTTTCTAATCATTTGTGTTTTAGTAACCACCATGTTCCCTGGACTCTTTACTTTTCTGTTTCATAAATGTTATGATGAGATTAATATGAGTGAGTGCATTTGTTTGTTTGGTTCTGCTAAGCTGCACAGATAAATCAGCCATCCTTAATATTGACGATTAAGAGTGGCCAGTTTGTATAGCCGGAGTCTCATCTTGATAATGGATGATAGGGACAGACCGGAGATACTGAGTAGTCTTAACTTTTCTTTTAAAGGTTTTTTTCTCCCTGAAGCAAGGAAAGTAATTTACCAAGAACATTAGAAAAAATGCAGTGCTCAAGCCTTGCATCCTGGTATTAAATTACATGATATACTGATGCTCTCTTTGAAGACTGCACTAATTATAGACATTTTTCAAACTTACTTTTACAAAGTTTGCATATTTTCAAGTACTCTCTTAATTACTAAGGTTTTTATATTCAGTATGCCATCAGAAGTGATTGTTTTCTTTCCTCTATGTAAGTCTTGTTAGGCATGACATATAAATGTGTTTTTCAAACAGTTATTTTGGAACATTTGAAAAATTACATTAGTAAATTTCAGTGTCTTCTTCTAGGGCTGTCTATTCATCTGATAAAAACATTAGGGAAATCGAGGAAGAGACTCTGAGGAAAAGCGTATGGGAGCCCAGACAAACACAGGAAGATGAAAGCCTTACATCTGGTAGTCTTCAGAACACTCAAATATCAGGTGTAAAATGCATTGGATGTGAAAAAAGACCATCTATTAATCAGCATTTTCTGGACGGAGCCAAAGATGCAGAAGTTGTTTATTCACTTAATAATGAAAAGGGAACTCTAGAAGTCAGTGATCCTGAAGACAATATAACTAAGCAAGGTGAAGTTAGAATTGTGTGTTAATTTTGCTAGTTACCTAAACACCAGTGTAGGTTTGATCAAAAATTTGTGGGTAAAGTTATGGTTATTACACTAACAACCAAGATGAATATTCCTTGCTTTGGCCAGATCATTCCCTGATGTCCTGAGTAAATGGCTGTGATAGGAAGCATAGAGGAATGTGATAGAAACTGTATTCCTTGCACTCAAGGGAAGGGCAGTGTTTCAGTTGCTGCATTACATTGTTGCTAACACTTTTTATGAGCTACAGATGAAAACCCAAACCCTTTTGGCATAGTGCTTCCATAGTGTGTGGTACCTCCTTTTCTTCACCGCAGAACTCACTGGTTCCACTGCATTTCATGTCCATGTAGTGAGTGGGATGTGGGCAGGGCCAAGTCAGTTCCATGTCACTCTGCAAGTGGAGAAATGTAAATATCAATTTTTTCGTTTTCTGGGCAGATCAGCTTTTCTCTCTTATGGCAGATATGAACTTGAATTTCTTCAGAGACCAATCTCTTTGAAACTGCACGTATGGTTTGTGCAGAAAAGGGAACAAACATACATCTTCATATACAGCAATAATAGTGGCACTTCTCTTCCACTGAGCTCAAAGTGCTATGAGCTGGTAAAACTCCCAATAACTCAGTTAAGACTAACACACAGAAGTTATTTTGCACTGCTAGTAAGTTTATCTGAAAAGCCTTTAATCAAATGTGCATTCTGGAAAGGAATTAAATATCCCATGTGAAAGCCATGGCATGGATATAAAATACATTCTTTTTAGTATGACAGATCCTTTTTCAGATGCCTGAAATTGCAACATCAACATAATCCAGTATAAATTGGAAGAAAATGACTATTTCCTCCCATTTACAGGTAATTCTGAACTAGAAACTGCATCTGGGTTAGGAGAAGACTTAATAATGCTGTACAAGAAATGTTGTTGTCCAGATATTAATATTTGGATAGAAGGCAAACAGTTTCAAGCTCACAGGTATTTAAATAAGTAATGAATTTAGAATGTAAATTCTTTCACTGTCAGTCCTTCTTTATGTATAAAACACATTAATGCTACCTACCTGTATTGCTCTAAATGTTTAATTTAATAAAGTATTCTTAGCGTGATGTTTTGTTTTGTACTATTAGAATTACTATAATGGCTTTGCTGGTTTCACCAAAAGACTGGTAGTATTTTTGTATTAAGTGAATTGCACTCTCATTTTTACAGCTGCTGTCATTCTTGTGATAACTTTAAGTCCTGAGAGAAAATATAATATGCTTTTAATATTGCAGGTTTTTTTACTTTAGGCATTCTAATATAAATTGAAGTAGAAATAAGCTGCAATATATTCATTGCAACAGAAACAGTTAATGAAACTAAATACAGCACAGTATTGCAACTTGAAATCTTGTAACCAAATCTATCCTATCAAAATAAATAAATCTATAAGAAAAAACTGATACTTATACTGCTTAAGAAACATTTAGGACTATCATATTGCAGTAGATAAAGCCGAGCTGACTGTTCTCTTCTGTCTTCAGTCAGTTTATAACTTTCTGAAGAAAAATTTCAAGCTGTAGCTACTGGACTTTCTCCCTGATGTTCTGATTGTTAATTACACAAAATTTGGGAAATCCCAAGTTAGGTTAGGTTAGATTCTCTTGTAGGGCCCCACTTTCTGCTAGAGGTTTTCATGTAGGAAGCTGGAAAAGAGCTAATTGGTGTGTTTTAGAAATCACCAGCCTCCGTGAACATTAGGGATGTTAAATATCGGTTAATTGAATAGTTGATTAACCTCATGAATTCTTATTGCTGGGGTAAGGCCAGCAGCCAGTGCTCTTTGGCCCCACTCCCAAGGAGCCCCCTGCCACTCCGCACTGCTGCTTCTGTACCAGAAGCAGCAGCATAGGGTACCAGGCAGGAGCTGGTCTGTGACAGGGAGCAAGTTTAAAAACCAGTTCCCCTTATGGACTGGCTGCCAGTCACCCTGCACTGCTGCCTCTGATACAAAGGCAGCAGCTCGGGGTGGCAGCAGCTTCTGTCTGGGGGTGGGGAGGGGGTCTGAGCTGCCGAACCTTTGTGAGTCGAAACTGAGCCTGGCTGCCTACCCACCTGGCTCGTAATACACTTTAAATGCAGAGCTGCAGCAGGAGTAGATCTGAAATATGTGAATGTAAAGCTATGTCTGCATTTCACACCACTAGCAGCAGCATGAATGTAGGTGTAGGTACGTACTGCAGGGAAAAGCAAGCTGTGTTCTCACAACAATACATAGCTACCTGTGTCTGGGAAAGTGTATAGCAGGGGAAAGCAGGAGCTTTTCTCCAATGCGTCTCCTGTCAGAGCCTTTCACATGCTGCTGGAGTCTTTCGCTGCAGAGAGAGACTCTGGCTGCTCCCTGTGGAAGAGAACTCACCAGTAGGGAGCTGCCAGAGCTTCCCTGCTGTTGAAGTCTTTCCCTGCAGTGAAGAAAAATCTTGGGCAGCAGGATACTATGCTGCCAAAGACAGCAATGCAGATGGGGGAAGCACTGCTTGTACCCATTGGTTCAGGTTTCTTTATGCAGCTAAACAGTGCCACATCATTTACACTGCTATTTATACCCATGTTAGGGGGACATGCTATGTAGTGATACCCTAAAGTTGATTGAGATAGGAGCCCCAAGTTTGTTTACCCATTATCTACTATTATAGAATATCTGTGTAGAACACTGGTAGGCCAGCTGTTTACCTTGTTTACTAAGTCAGTATACTGAGCTGCATACTATTGGCCACAGTTGAGGATTTCTTTAAAACAGAAAACTCTTTGTATGCCTGTCATGAATTTTTACATTTTCGAATCTTTTTCCAATGTAAAATGAAAAGTAGTAAAGTGAACAAGGTGACTTTTTTAATATTCATCTTTCTCACTGGTATTTGAAAAACCCAATAATCAGGCAGTATCTGTCTCTTCTGGTTTGTCCTGAAGATAGGCATAAATCCAAATAATATTTTTTAGCTTTAAAATAGATTTTCATTTCCTTGCATTTCATAATACTTAACATATATAATTGAGAGAGCAAGGATGGAAAAAAGTCTTGTGGATTAGTGGAAGTGGGGGAAATATTCATTTAATGTAGAAAGTCTGGTTATTTATTACAGATGATATAGGAATGTAGGTTTTTTTTAAGTTACATTGGATAATACATAAATGGAGTTTAGGTAGGTTGCTTCTTTTTGGATGATGTAGAACTGAGAAAAAGACATGTTCTCAGTTTCATAGCTGGATAAATAGAAATTTTAATGCAAGGACTATTACCTCCTGCCTTCGAAAAAAATCCCATCTGCAAGAACTGTTTCAGTTCAGGCTGTTATTGTGCCAGGAGCAATGTATCCAGCCAACATTTGAAAATATTGCAGTGCCTCATATTAGCAGAGAAGGGGGGGGGGGGGACTGTTACTTACTGTTTATAACTGTTGTTCTTTGAAATGTGTTGCTCATGTCCATTCCAAACAGGTGTATGTGTGCTATGTGCACAGTTATTGGAAGGTTTTTTCCCTTAGCAGTGCCAGTCAGTTAACTGTGGAGCCCCCTGGAGTGGTGCTGTTATGGTTCTGAATATAGTCCACTGCCAGTCTCCCCCATCTGCCTCTGCTCAGTTCCTTCTTGCTGGATAACACCGACAGAGCGGAGGTGGGTGGTTATTGGAATGCACACGAGCAACACATCCTGAAGAACAACCATTGTGAGAGGTAACTAATCATTTTTGTATGTGTAGAGGCTTGTAGGGGCAGTGTGCTGGGAGAGAAGCTGAGCCCTGGTTATGGGGCGGGGCCTCACTGATTAGGGGTCCTATAAAAGGTAGTCTTCCAGTCAGGCAGTGGCACAGTCAGCAGCAGCGACATAGGCGCCAGCAAACAGAGCTGTAAACAGGGCCGTTTGAGTGGGAGTTTGGATTGTGGGACTCATTTAGGGTTTGTTTTTGCCGTGGAGGGGTGTTTTGATTTGTTTTTGTGTTGCTGGATTAACAGGATTTAGGTGAGAAGGCTGATTAACACAGAGATAGCAGTGGAGGACACAATGAGAATGAGTGGATGTGGCAGCTGTGGTATGTATATGGTTTTGGAGGGGATACTTGAAAGGAGTTTTGTTTGCATGAAGTGCCGCCTAATAGAACTGATGGAAGAAAAGATCCGAGGATTGGAGATGCAGGTGGAAACTCTGGTTGAGTTTAGAAGGGGGTTCGAGCAGATGATGGAGCAAAGGCATGAGGTGTCTGAAGGGGAAAGCTTAGACATGCAGACTGAAGCAGGATCAAAGACTTCTGAGAGGGGACTGCTGGGCAAAGAAAATGGACAGTGGAAGCATATGACTATGAGAACCAGGCAGAGGAAAAGATGGGCCAGTGAAGGAGAAATAGAGCTCAAGAACAGATATGTGGACTTGGAGAATGGAGAAGGGATACAGCAGGTGGCCACTGAAGGTGGAAAGGTAAGGAAGAAGAGAAGAGTGGCCAGTCCCATACGTAAAGGGGAAGAGTCAATGGAGACAACACCAATAATGAGCACCAGGGGGATACAGGATGGGTTGAAAAAGATTACAAGGGAAGATAGGAATGGAAAGGACTTGCAGCCAGAGGAAACAAGGGATAGACCAGAGAATCGCACTGTCACCAGGAAAAGGCAGGTCTATATGACTGGGGACTCCTTACTGAGAAGAATAGACAGGCCTGTAACCAGAGTTGATCCAGAGAACAGAAGGGTGTGCTGTCTGCCAAGTGCTAAGATACAGGATGTGGAACTAAGGTTGAAGAGGATCCTAAAGGGAGGGGGAAAGAATCGATTGATCATCCTTCATGTAGGAATAAATAATACGGCTAGATTCTCGCTGGAACGAATCAAGGGAGACTATGCCAGGTTGGGGAGGACATTTAAGGAAATCAAGGCTCAGGTGATCTTCAGTGGGATTCTGCTTGTTCCTAGAGAAGGGCAACAAAGGTCTGATAGGATTATGAGGCTCAATAGGTGGCTCAGGCAGTGGTGCTATAAGGAGGGCTTTGGGATGTATGGCCACTGGAAATGCAGTGGATCTAATCTACCTTGATTTCAGTAAGGCATTTGATACAGTACCACATGGGGAATTATTGGTTAAATTGGAAAAGATGGGGAGCAATATGAAAATTGAGAGGTGGATAAGGAACTGGTTAAAGGGGAGACTACAGAGAGTCATACTGAAAGGTGAACTGTCAGATTGGAGAGAGGTTACTAGTGGAGTTCTTCAGGGATCAGTTCTGGGACCATTGTTATTTAATCTTTTTATTACTGACCTGGGCACTAGAAGTAGGAGTGTGCTAATAAAGTTTGCGGATGACACAAAGTTGGGAGGTATTGCCAATTCAGAAAAGGATCGGGATATCATACAGGAAGATCTGGATGATCTTGTAAATTGGAGTACAGGCAGTCCCCGACTTACACGGATCCGACTAATGTCGGATCCGCACTTACGAACGGGGCTTTTCTCGCCCCGGAGCTCACGGGCGGCGAGTCGCCACCCGTGTCCTCCGGGGCAAGAAAAGCTTCTCCCGGTCTCCCTGGTCTGCTGGGGGGGTCCAGCAAAGCCG